ATAGATAGAGGGGAAGAACTTCATTCATCAATTGATATTGCAAATGCCTCTGGAAGTACGTGGTCCAACTACTCCAAAGATGAAAATTTCGCCCAGGAGTACAAGTCATGCAAGGATCGCTTCATATCCCAACAATATTCTAGATCCAACTTATCTCCGGATGCGCTCGACCTCGAATCCAATTTCACTCTTATTGAGCTAGAATTGGCCTTACACCATGCTAAAGGGAAAAGCTCGGGCAATGACCGTATATCTTACCTAATGCTCAAGAATTTACCAATGGAGTCGAAGAATAGGCTATTGGATATTTACAACATAATTATTGAATTAGGTACCAACCCTCATGTATGGCGGTCTGCTATTATTATCCCAATGCCGAAGCCCAATAAACCAACTCACAAATTAGCATCTTTCAGGCCTATCTCCCTCCTCCCCTGCTTAAATGAAATATTAGAAAAAATCCTTGCAAAACGATTTATGTGGTATATCACTAAGCACAATTTCATTAGCCCCCACCAAACGGCATTTAAACCAAAACACAGTACGCTGGATTCCCTCCTGCACCTCAACCATTACGCATCAGACGCCCTTTCGACCAAAAATCATGTTACCATCCTGGCAACTGATTTTGAAAAGGCCTTTGACCGCGTAGGGGTGCATACTGTTTTGGATCACCCGTTGGGGTGTAGGTCCTAGGATCTTCAACCTGGTGAAGGCGTTCATGACCAATCGCTCCTTTCGTGTCAGAGTTAACAACACTATCAAAATTCTACACACTCTACAACGGGATCCCCCAAGGAGCCCCACTGTCAGTCGTATTGTTCATGATCGCCTTCCAATCGTTTAATAACATCACACTGAATAATAGAAAAATAGAACTATCAGTTTATGCGTCTGATGCGTTAATATTTAGTAAAAGTAAAGACACAACAATTCTAAATAATACATTTAAAAAAATACTAAAAGATATTAAAAACTGGGGGAAAACTTCTGGAGCCACGCTCTCTATAGAAAAATGTAAAATATTACATATATGTAAGAAACACCATTGTACTTATCCTACTTTAACTTTTAATAACGTAGCAGGTAAACTTCTTGAAAATTCTCGCCATTATAGTACATTCGACAAACGACTCACATTCAAACAACATTGTTATGATCTCAGAATTAATTTAAACCAACGCCTAAACATAATAAAATTTTTAACCACAAAACGATCCCATATTCATCCAACAATACTGATTCATGCTACAAGAACATTAATGTTATCCAAAATTGACTATGGGCTGCCCATTTATGGTTGGCGTGCCACGTCTAACATCAAAATGGGTTTTCCCCCTAATCACGCGGCAGTACGACGGAGCATAGGCGCTTATCCAACGACGCCCTCAAAATGTATATTAGCGGAAGCGGGTCTGCCAGATATAGCGACCAGAGTTGCCGAAACTACTTTCAAGCTTATACCCAAAGTATTGTGCTCCACGAATCCTATCTTAAGGAAGGACTATCAGTGTGCATATAAGCATCGGAAAAGGTTCAAAGTTATGTCTACAATTCTGCGATGTATCGAATTTAGCAAGGGACACGACATTGCAATATCGCATTGCTGGAACAAAGTCAGCCCATCACCACCATGGAAACTACGCAATACTACCATAAACACAGCGTTGTATAGCTTCCACACAGCGTTGTATAGCTTCCACTTCATCAAAAGATACAAGGTGCGTTCCAAAGTAAACAGGACTTTTGGAATCTATCGCCCCCTGGTTGCGACTGGTGCGATAGAATCTGCTACCTTTATCGATTGTCCAGTGAGAATATCATGACATTTCATTGATTGGAAGTGAAGTTATTGCGTTTTAAGTGTCAGTATGTTTGTGTTATCGGTGCGAAAATGAGCTTCGGACAAAGAGCCAACATTAAATTTAGTTTTAAAATTGGTAAAACTTGTACCGAAACGTTTCAATTGATGGAACATGTTTATGGCGATGATTGCCTATCCCGTAGCAGAGTGCACGAGTGGTTTCAACGTTGTCAAAGTGGTCGTGAGGACATAAATGTCGATCAACATGTGGGCCAATCAAAATTCGTGATCACCGAAAATTCCATCGAAACTGTGCCTGAATTAATCAAAAATCAGACGAAATCATCATTGAAATTGATGGAAATTGAATTGAACATCGATTTATCGCATTTTGACCGAACATTTGGGCTTACGAAAGGTGTGTGCACGGTTTGTTCCGCACAAATTGACATTTCAACATTCGAAGGACCGATTATTTGACCAAAAATCACATTTTAACCATTTACCATTCGCCGTATTCACCTGATATGGAACCGTGCGACTTCTACCTTTTCGGAAAAATGCATTTGCCCATTAAAGGAAAGCGTTATGCAGACGTAGGCTTAAACCGGCATACTGGCGGCCATACCGGCCAACGAGCTAAAACACGCGTTCGACATGCTTTTGGATCGTGAATTGATTTTGCGGAAAAACCATTTGTTCTTTTTTTTTTTTAAAGTCCTGTTTACTTTTGAACACACCTTGTATGTTTCTGCACTTCTTTGCAGAGGAAACTGCAAAATACCCAAACTGGAGAAGACTCTACACCGATGGATCCAAAAGCGATACAGCATACTTTTTCTGTCGTTGACCAAGTCGGATCTATTATATCCTGGGGCTATCTCCCTCAATACTATTCCGTTTTTACAGCCGAAGCTGTAGCGATCCTAAAAGCCATCAAACACGCAGTATACCATAAAGGCAAGCACATCATTTGCAGCGACAGTTTATCCACACTCCAAAGTGTAGCCAATCTATACAACACAAGCAATCTTCTATCTGAGATCCGTCATTACGCTTTACAACATCAAAACAAAATAAAGCTCATCTGGGCTCCAGGATACATGGATATAGAAAGCAACGATCTCGCTGACAAAGCGGCGAAACTGGCAGGAAGAGCACCATGTTCTAAAATAATACCTTGCTCACAAATGGACATCGCCAAACATATTGGTACAATTTTGAAAACTAAAGAAATTGCCAAATGGGCCTTATTCCAGCATTGGTATAAAGCCTCCAATCATAATAAGTCCAAAATGCACTATAACCCAATTTTGAACAGAAAAATCTGTAATACGCTGACTAGGCTCAGAACTGGTCATAGTGATCTAACACATAAGCACATCCTCAAAGGAGAACCTAATCCTAACTGCCGCGAATGCGGGAAAATCTGTCAATTGAACACCTATTAGATAATTGCACTCACCTCCACTATCCTAGAGTTAAGAATTTTGGGGAATCCAAACCATCCGGCCTATTAGTCAACCCTACAAGCCAAAACACCGAACAAATTATAAAATTTCTTAAAGACTAATATTTTCCATAAACTGTAAATACTTTTCTATTATCTAAAAGTCGAGTCGGTGGCGAAGGTAGCTAGCACTCCTAATTTGTAATTAGTTCTTATATTATAATATACTTGTAGTTATGTTGATTACGGATACCAAACTTGAAATCGATCGGACAACATTAATAACACAAACTTTTCAGTTGAAAAAAAGTGAAGAAATATAAAAACCCCAATAATTCATGCTCCAAGATAAATTTCAAGAAACCGAGTATGCAGTTTATTTGTATTCTTTTATTGACTTTAGAAACGTTTTAGGTCAATCGGTTGAAAAATGTGGATTTTTCGAACAAATTTTGGAGTTCGTTTTCCCCCTTTGGAGCTCGAATTTTCCAAAATCGCCAGTCTACGCTATGAAAGGATACTTGAGTCGAAATTTCAGCTTCCTAGCCTTTACCGTTTGGGCTGTACGTTGATCACCAATCAATCAGTCAGAACAAACTGTTTTATATGTATATAGAGATTTGCTAAGAACTATTTTTTTTAATGTAATTTACAAAATTTAAAGTTGAAGCTATTGGAAAATGTTGTGTAATATTTTTCAAATCTACTCATTAGTACTACAAATTAAAAATATAGTTTGATTTGTTCGGTTGCTTATAATACTTTTATTTTAAAAAACATCTATGCACATATACGTCTTTCCATGAGGTACATTTAATGTTTATAACATGTTCGTGTTGGGCCGTGTTTAGAAATATTTTATTTATTTTTAATGTCTTTGTAATACTGTAAGATATCTTGCGGTGGGTCGGTGATTTTGAGGTTGGGTCATGTGTGTTATTGTGTGTTTTTTTTTTCATTTTGGTAATTTTAATTTTTTTTTTATAATTATTCTACAAATAGGTATAGTATATTTCAAAGTCAGGGCTTAAGGTTGTTTGAATTTAGGATGAAAGGAATCTTTTTTGTATGTTTAATCGATTTCAAAATGGAGGCTAAAGAAAAAGATGGGAGTTGATGACATCAGAGTATGACACTAATTTCCGGAGTTCGCTGGCTTTTGTTGCTGTTATTGGAGCGTTCGCTGATAATAATTTCTGGACTTTTCTTGTCCAATGTTTCAAATTGCAGTTCCTTTTCTTGCTTATTTAAATTTATTATAAACAATTGGAAAAGCTAAAGTGTGATCGATTATACCTTTTAGGAATTAGAACTCAGGTAAAGGGTATATGAATGCACATGTACATCGGAATTGTGTCTGTGTGTGTCAACGCGTGTCTGTGTGTGATCATGTGTGCAGTATAAAGTTGATCCAAAGCAGCAACAACAACAACAGCTGCGGGAAAAGCTTGGGCTATAACTCTACATTTAACGTATCATGATGACACATGAGCAATAATTTTAGTACAAAATTACAAAGATTACAGGCATCTCATTTCATAAGTTGTTATAGTTTCTGACTCTAGGTCTTTATACGGAACGACAGGGCAAAATCAACTTGTCTTGGCTTTGTGGCGTCAGCCACGCCTCCTTCTGCCTGTTATATATTTTACTTTGCACTTTCAGGGAGTGGTATGAGATCATTGTACTGGGTACAGGGTGAAATTGTTGAACTTGAGAATTTGATAACCAAAAATTACCATCTAGCAGCATGATCAACTATCAGATGGACGTGGATGTTTACGTGAACAACATAGATTTGTTTCCACACCGGCGTAATAATCGTCCGCCACAACAGCTGTGTCCCAATTCCACCCACAGCGGCAACTCGGAGGCGGGGCAACAATTGTTTACCGCACAAACACGGCGTGTGCAGAACTCCTTAAAGCGCCTGGAAAAGCAGCAGGATGAGTTTTTTGAGTTGTAGCATATATATACATATATGTATATATATATATATATATATATAATTTTTTAATTTACTATTTTCCCGCTTTTAATGATTAAAGCGAATGCACCTAGTATTATTCAAAATTTTAAGACATAAGCTTTAACTTTCACTGTGTATACATATAAATATATTATGAGAATTATTAATTTTATTATGGCCCCTACTCTATTAAAATGAAGTGCTCTTCGAAATTGGTAATCAATTAACAGCCTATCTAAATTCGCATATCCATTTTATGTTCTTTAATAATAAATGTATGTATATTCATACATATTTCCAAAACAAGGTATATGAAAGGACGCTCATACTTACCTGATTTTAGACACTTGATTTTGATTGTTTTATTCTTTCAATATATGAAAATATTTAGTTGTTCGGAAGTGTATATAGCGATATCAATAGCAACACAATATATAATGTACATAAAAGCACGAATGTCCATAAATATGTATATTTAATATGTTCACTTCCATGACCAGGTTTTGTAAATTGTAAAAGTGTATCGAAAATAAATAAGGAGAAATGAAAATAAGTAAAACAAATTGTTTAATATAAATTAACCTATAGACAACTTTTTTGAGGTGTGGTGGTTTCGACGTGTAATCAGTTTGCAGACATAAGAACGTTGCATTTAACGGGTTTTTATTTCAAATAGAAAAGATGTGTAATTTTAATTTAATTATTGTAATTTTGATGATAATTGTTATTTATCTTGAAACATTTCTCATTTCTAATTTATTATTCAAATCTTAACCAAGCTACTTAGTTGAGTTTAGCTGGCCATCCATACGAGAGCATGTTGCCTGAACTTGCTCGGCAGCACAAATACATTTGCCCACTAACGAAACAAAAATTGTCCACTATCATCATTTGCTAAAAAAATTTCGTTAAGTGCGCACATTAAAATGGACGCGGACGCAAACACAGTTCTCGTTTGGAAAATATGTGGCGGATATAGCAAGCCACAGTTTGAATTTAAGGACCTTTGATTGCGTAAATTGTATGATATCGATGCTAACTGACCTTAGTGGATGTCACAAGTGTGGGCTTTCTTGGAATATCTGAGGTATACTTCTTACATATATAGGACTTAAAGACGCTGACCAATTGACAATTTATCTTATCCATCAGACCATCCAGGGATTTCAACAGTTTTGATATACTTGAAAACGCTTGTACAAAGGTACTCATATCTTATCATCAAAATAACTGACATTTTCCACTATTGACATTTTTCAGTAAAACCGGTCACGTTGCAACCATTGGCTTGGAGGATCGTATAACAGTTCGCCATGTCATCACAGCAGAAAATCGAATTAATGAGTCACTTCCCATATTCACCAGACTTATCTCCAAATGATAGAGTTTTGTTCCTAACAAACAAACCAAACCTTTACAACACCTGAAGCATTCAAATATCTTGATTTGGACGTACCTGCTCTTGAATGGAAACAAGAGACAACGCTACAGTCGAGCAAGCCTGGCAGTAAAATACCATGTACAAACTCCCACAAACAAAAAATAATTATTATATATTATATTTTAATAATTATTTTAAAAAAATTAAATGTATTTAATTAAATTAAAAATATTTACTACATAATTACATACGCACGTGGAGACATTCAGTGATGGAAAAAATAATATAAACGACAAAAGTTTCGCTATGATAGACCGATTTAACAGGAAGTTATAGCCATAACTTCATATTTGCTGCTCAAGCACTGCCCGCGGCTGTTGTTGATGCTGATGCTTTGGTTGACTGCAAACATGTTTACACAGACACGAATAGACGCGTATAGACATTCATACACTCACATAGACGCAATTGCTTTGTATATGTGCAATTATACGAGAGAGGTTAAAATCGATCCAATATTTTTTTTATTTTTCTTAATTTTTTTAATTTCTATAATTTCTGTAAACATATGTACAGAGTATTTCAAAGTCGGGACACCCGACTTTAGCTTTTTTACTTGTTTTTCCTAAATATTCATCAGATTAGATGTTTAAATTTAGAAAAAGATAAGTTTTTTCAACGGTGGTACCTTCTCTTGCCAGTTCGTCGGCTATGCAGTTTCCCTCTATGACCCGATGGCCTGGGACCCAAAGGAGGTAAACTGAGAACTGCCATCTCGTGAAGAGGTTTCCGACAGGTCTGCAGTGACATCGAGTTCGATATGATGTTGTTTAGGGATTTTATTGCCGCTTGGCTATCCGAATATATGCAGATTTCTTCTTCTTTAATAGCTGTGATTTCGGCCTTGAATACACTACAGTGATCCGGGAGCCTGAAGGCATTTCTGATGCCAAGTTCTTCGCAGAAGACATCCCAGCCTACGCGGTTTTCCAGCTTAGAACCGTCTGTATATAAGTTAATTTTCACAATGTTTATTTATTGGAAAAATTATATTTATTTATCGGCCAATTAAGACCTTTTCGTTTTGATATAATTTTAAGACTGAATTTACAAACTTAAGTTTAGCCCTACGCTAGCTGAGGACGCTTTCAGTGACGCTGGCAGCGGCGCTTCCCGTCGGTCGGCGATGCAGCGAACCTCACGTTGACGAAACTTGGCCATGTCAGCATATTATGACTTAGAGTGAATTTTATGTTGCAACTGCGCTGGCTTGGCATGTGGCGGAAGCCGACGAGACGCTGATTCTGTGATTTTGTGTATCGTGCCAGTGCAAGCTGGTGCAACCGAATCGGACCGTTGACCAGAGTACTTTTAATGTTGTTATTGTTAACTTACTTTTAATGTTGTTATTGTTAACTCCTCCCCCTTTAATTGACGCTTGTCCTCAAGCGGTTTCGTCTTCTCCAAATAGCATCAAAAGAATGGTATATTGTTAAAATTTAGTTGGTCATTTCTTTGTGGCTGTAGGTCTTGTATCGCTTTGAGTTGAGGTTGAGGAGCCATTTGCAGTATTATCTTTTGCTGTTTCTTCTTGTTGAGGTAGAATATACTGATGAGTATTACCACAATGCAGATGACAGTGAAGACCCATGAGCTGTGAGCTGCTATGCGTAGTTTATTCAGCTGCTCGGTGTTGTCGATGTGTAAAGCTTCTAGAGCTTCCAGAGACAATATTTTAAGTCGCTTGGTCTCTTCTGGGGTGATTTGGATTACTGGGGAGCCCGTTTTTAGTACTGTGGTTTCTAGGTTGGCGAACACTCTGTTGTCAATTGTGATGGATTCATTCCAGAAGTTAATAAGGTAAGATCCGGCCAGGTTCCTCGTGTTGTTTTGCCGTAAGGTCAGAATCCCGTTGAAGTCGTTGAGCATAATGAGTCCGCTGCTGATTTCTTCAATTTTGCCGATGTGGTTGGCGTTACTGAATTCACACAGCGATTTCTCTCCTTTTAGGAGCCTAGGCAAACAAGTGTTATTTCTGAGGCTTACAATTTCATTCTTATGACAAATTTTTATATTATTATAACTCTTGCAATTCTTTATGATCCCGTACATATTTTCTTTGTTCGAAAAAATTTCTCCAAATTGGGTGTTGACAATTGCGTTGTTTTTTATTATTGGTTTGACTAAAATATTTTCATAATCTATTTCTTCCAAATTTGGTATTTTCACCATATATAGTAGTACAGTTTTATTATGTAAAATTGATACTTCCGAGAATTCTAACATCTCTTCGACTGATAAAGAAGGCATATTTCCTATTTTAAAAATGTTGTCTATTTCATGTATTTCCTTTTCACCGAGTAGAAAGGTGTTTATTATGTTCAGTTTTGCCCATTGTATGGCGTATTTAATATTAATAACTTCTTCTTTGATTAATCTTATCTGGTTTTGGAGGCTAATGGCAATATCATTATTAAATTTGTCATCTTTTTTTATGGTGTTTGTCAAACTTTTAGTTATTCTAGTCAAGCTATTTAGTCTTTGTTCTAGTTGGTTATTTATAATTATTTGTTTGTTATTGTTTGAAACTATTTTATTAATGTGTTCTTCCAATTTAATAAAATCGTCGTGGTCAGGGCTTCCTGCCACGTACTTCCATGTTCCTATCATGTCTATGGCTCTGGTGGTTCTTTTATTAAAAGTGGAGGTTATGGTGTAGAAGATCGAATAGGTTTGGTTTATTTCATGGTGCAGAGTATGGTAGAGGCTGCTAAATTTTAGCCCTTGTTCTGTGTGAAGTCTGATGGTGTCCAATGCTTTCTCTATCTGATCGAGATCGAGGACGTGAATAATTCTGGTCGTTGCGGTAAGTATTTTGCCTAGTCCTAGGTATATTGTTGCAGTTTGTGCGTCTGTGTAGTTCGTTATGTCGACTCCGTACGTCCCAGTTGTTGTCCATGACAACCACCTGTAATTAAGTGTTTTTGATGTTACTCTTGTGTACTATCTTGCCTGTTTTTGTGGTGATTGTGTCGTTATTTTCGTCTACAATCTCTTTCCTGAATATTGCTGATAATTTCGACCCTAACGTAGTGTTGACTTTAACGAATATTTCGTCACCGGGTTGGTATGTCCTTAGGGATTTCCTACTCCTGTTGTGGTATGCTAGGTCAGTGCTCTGTTTTTGTTTAAGTCGGTCTATTTCGTCCAGTCTGGTCTTTTCGTATAGTTCTGGGTCAGTAGTTACTATTCTTCCAAAAAACACTTCTAGTGGTCGTTTTTTTGTGACGGAATGAAAGGTGTAGTTATACTCGTAGATAGCTCTGTCAACAAGTTCTTCGAATGTTCTATGAATTTTGACTTTTCTCACAACCCGCATTATTTCTGACAGTGTAGAGTGGTATCTCTCAATCTGTCCATTAACTGTGCTCTTATAAGGTGGGACTGTAAAAATTTCGATTTTAAGCTGATCAACGAGCATAAACTTGATTGAAGCGGAATTCAGTGATTTTTCATTGTCCATGACAAGGTATTTAGGGACGCCAAAATAAAAAATTAAATCTCTTAGTGGGGTTTTTATGTCTTCAATAGATTTTGACTTTATAATCCTTCCCTGTGCCAGCTTTGAAAACTTATCAATGGCAGTCAAAACCAATTTCCCCTCTGTCGAGTAGATATCTATATGGACAATGTGGCCGGGGTATTCTGGAATCGGAGTTTCTTTTAATTTTGGATTTGTTGGATGCCTATCGTATTTTTGTTCTTTACAGGTTACGCATTGTTTAACCAAACTCTCTATCTGTTGCTTCATCTTTGGGAAGTAGAATCGTTCGGACAGTTGG